AAAATGTAGCTCTAGAGTTAGTGGTGAGTGATGTCGACTAGCTGCCTTCCATCTAGTTTATCACATAAAATGTAGCTCTAGAGTTAGTGGTGAGTGATGTCGACTAGCTGCCTTCCATCTAGTTTATCACATAAAATGTAGCTCTAGAGTTAGTGGTGAGTGATGTCGACTAGCTGCCTTCCATCTAGTTTATCACATAAAATCTAGCCCTAGATGCCTTCCCTCTAGTTTATCATAAAAAATGTAGCCGTTGAGTTGGTGGTGATGTTGACCAGCTGCCTTCCCTCTAGTTTATCACATAAAATGTAGCCGTTGAGTTGGTGGTGAGTGATGTTGACCAGCTGCCTTCAAAATTAGGTACAGCTAGACCTCAAGTAGATTTGCACGAAATTCAACAAACAAACAAACATACTTTTCCAATATCAATAGAAATACTTTAATTATTTGAAAACAAAAATAATATTTCCTAAATAGAACACTAACAAAGACTGTTAATATAAAGTAATTTTAAGTATACTTTATATTCAAATCTTACCCCCTAATTTCTTCATTAAAAACCTCTTACTATGAGATCTATCAATGTACTACCGATGTTAAGAGTAATAAGAACAAACCTGATTTAAACCTTGCACTCCTAATATAGTTTCCATTTGACCAGCAGCAGACATCTCTTCACTGTCTTCCCCTGAAACAGATTATCATCATAACTACCTCAAAACTTCATTATTTCAATAATAAATAAACAACACACAACGTTAAAATTGATACACAATTAAAAACATTTCATCGTCCACTTCTGATGATGTCGTGCGAAACATCAAAACATGTAGAGTCCACACTGTAGAAATGTTTTTAATTGGGTATCAATTTTAACGTTGTGTGTTGTTTATTTATTATTTGAACATTACATACAAGTATTAAGAAAACAATACCTACTTCGTTATTTCCCAATCTTTCTTCTCTGAAATTAATAATGTAAGTATTAGTTTTATTAAACAGAAAAGTTACAGTTCTAAACATTTAATTCCACTAATAATAGCTGGAATAAGACAGTGAGTAAATGTGTTTATCTTGTACATGAACTCTAACCCTGAATTCCTAACATTAAAACTTTATTTTTAATTCCACATACTTACATTTGCATTGCAGCGACCAATCATCAGACAGTTAGGAGTACGATTCTTAATCAATCAACGCATACACCATAAAAACATAGACCAGTTAATGGTGTTAGTTGAGAAAAAGAGTATTTAGCTCAAAACTTTTACACTACAAAGACATTGTTGTTAAAACCAATAGAACAATTTAAAAATACTTTAAAATGCATTAGTTTTAAAATAAACTCTAGTTAACCCTAATTTTACAATGCATTCAACAATGGTTTTAACTGCAATAGTGTTAAGAGAAGCTCTAGGTAACCCTAATGTTACAATGTATTCAACAATACTTCTTAAATGTAGTAGTGTTAAAAGAAACTCTAGTTAACCCTAATGTTACAATGTATTCAACAGTACTTCTTAAATGTAATAGTGTTAAGAGAAGCTCTAGTTAACCCTAATGTTACAATGTATTCAACAATACTTCTTAAATGTAATAGTGTTAAGAGAAGCTCTAGGTAACCCTAATGTTAAAATGTATTCAACAATACTTCTTAAATGTAATAGTGTTAAGAGAAGCTCTAGGTAACCCTAATGTTAAAATGTATTCAACAATACTTCTTAAATGTAATAGTGTTAAGAGAAG